GTCAACAGCTCCCCTTACCTGGTGAAGTAAATTATGCTCACCTAAGTCCGCCATCTGGGTCTCTCACCAGGGGCCAATCATGCAGATGGTTCTTTGCTGACCGCTCCCTGACAATCCTTTTGAGATTACATCACTCTCTTCTAGATCCTGAGAGACCCTTGCTGCTGGACATCAAAAATGGAAATGTCCACATTATGCAGGCAGTGGCGTGGACATCCAAAGGAGGACTCTGCAGGAAGTAAATAAATGAAGAGCGAAGGCCCAGAACTGGAGCACCATGTGTCCATGATTTTAGTTAAGTAAAAAAGGCATTTAGAAGTTTTGTTTTATTTTAGCAATCAGTAGGGGGGTGTTACCTTTATCAGCTTTAATACTGATAATCAAGACATGTTAGACTCCTTCTTAGGAGCAAAGTCATTCTAATTTTAAGGGAAAGATTATGGACTATATTCTAGAAAAAAATTAGGTTTTTTTAGGGAACTACTAAGGCACAATGAACGTTTCTAGATATTTCCTAACAAAGCAAATTTTTGAGTTCAGGTTCACTTTAGCTTGACCTAACCAGGGTTTATTTCTATTGACAGACTGAATAAGCCTCTGCAAAGGAAAGTGCCAAATACAGTAACCTATATGAACCAATCAAAACTTTCTGACCCCAATCACTGACTTATTGACTGCTACAAGTGAACCAACTTTAGACTTTAAAGTAAAAAAAAGTTATGATGCAAGAACAGTAAAGCTAGCCTATAAATGGCTCAGATTTCAGCTAATGTCCGCTGGACATTCAAAGCAGCTTTAAAGCTATTTCTTTTTTTAACAACAACAAGCATGTTATACCTACCTGTTCTGTGTAATGGTAAAGCATAGAGCACCCAAAATCTCTTGTTCTGGAATCCTCTGCCAGCAAACTTGGCTCCTTGTCTTCTCTGTTTGTCTCCATAGCAAGCTGCTTGTTGTGGGGGCAGATGTGCAGGCTTGCTCCTGAGCCAGACTATGTGCATCCATAGACACACAAGACAGCTCTGCCCCGCCCCCCTCACAGGATTTCACTGACAGTAGCAACAGCTAATGGGTCCTGCTGCTCTCATGACAGTGTACAGACAGCAGAGACAGGGGAAGAAAAGACCGTCAGCGCAGGACTGATACAGGACTTACAGGACCGGTGAGTATTTAGGAAGGCAAGGGGCGATACAATTATTGGGACTTTTTTTAACCCTAATGCAAGGAACCACTTTCAGCTGTAAGTGGCCAAGACAGACTGTACATATGAAGCTATTCGAGATCCATGCAGGACTATGCAGCTGCCCATTTGTCGTTGATTTAAACAGACTGCCTGCATGTGGCTTCACTGAACACCTGTGCATCCAATTAGGGTGAAGACAGCCCTTCGCATAGGTGTATGCCCATGTAAGTGGGTATTCAGACATCCGTGGGCACTGCGGCAGTATGAATACAATGGCCAGTGATGCTGAAATAACTGATTTCTGTTGTTTACCCAAAAAGGCTAAATAAGAGAAATATACAAAGCTATAGCTAGCCTAACTCATATAGTGCTTATTTTGCTATCTGTCCATAGTTTTTGGCTATACCATGGCTACATGTCTTGATCTTGAAAAGTGCACTAAAAATGTATCGAGCAAAAGAAAAAAAAATAATTATTTGGAATATAAAATTGCTGTATCGATAGAAGTGCTGTTGGAGAGTATTGGAAACCTATCTCCTTTTAACCACATCCCTGACTATATCAATATCAGAAATATTACAGTTTTCACCTTCAAGCCTCTGCTGTCTTGCAAGGGCACCTCTATCACCTGATGCTGTATATACAGATTGCAAAATAAAGAAAAGGCAAAGCTCTCAGTAAAATGCAAAAGGCAGTGTTGCTGTCTTGCTCTAATGATTTCCAGAGAAAAAAGTATGAGCATTCATATTATCAAAAAAAAAAATAAAGTAAGATATTACCAAATCTATGAGATGGAGAATTTCACATTGGACTGTTTTGGCGTAGATTTCATCATTTTAAATATTTAATATGCCATATGCTTGAAATATCGAAAGATCACACTGCAAGGGTAACTGCAAGGGTAATTAAAACTGCTTCTTGGGAGGGCACCGTCAACGTACGTTGATGGCATCCTAAATCATCCAAGCACTTTTAAACGGGGTGTTCTGACCTAGTCATATTATTTATGTTTAAAAATTTAGATTGGTAGATAACACTATACACTTATAGCATACATTCATGTTGATGTGTAATATTGTAAAATATATATAATGTGAATGTATAATGCTATTCATGTTAACCATTTATTTACACTTTAATGAATAGTGTCATTTATTATGTTAACCATTTTTTTACACTAAAAGCTGCATACATTCATGTTGATGTGCAATATTGTAAAATATATATATAATGTGAATTAATAATGCCATTCATGATGTTAACCATTTATTTACACTTTAATGAATAGTGCCATTTATTATGTTAACCATTTTTTTACACTAAAAGCTATACTGAAAACTGGAATGTTGGCCATGCATATCAATTTTAAGGCACTTTCAATCACAAACAAGTGAACAGATCAAGACAACCTACCACCAACTATTTCAAGAATTTAATAGAAAGTGTAGGTGATATGTTGCATTACTGTATTTAGATCCCTTGACACCACTGGGCAGTACAGACCAATGCATAGACAAAGCAAATTGCCCTCTGCTCTGTGTTCAGTTCACACCATTGAATGAAAAACACATGCCATACTACATGCTTACATTTTGACATGTTTTCTTGTGACCTAAAATGGGTTTGAGTTACCTGCAAACAGCTATCAAATGTATGGCCAGCAAATAGGCTTCTTTACACGTCTGTTGAGTGGACATTGATCTGAGCAGATCAATGCAGGATCAACAGAAGGACATGTAGAAAAAAATTGTTTTTTACACGCCCCGTTACACCACAATGCTGCATTGAGGAGGGTTGGGGTGTGTTGTGTAAAATGCAGACATGCTGCACTTTTACACACCCAACACTCCTCAACAAGTTAGGATGCATAAAGCTGAATGAAGTGTCATTTTGTGACACTTCAGTAAGGTTTAAAAAAAGTGAAAAAACTATGAATGTACAACCCCTAATCACCTCTACACAAAACACACATTTTAGCATGCAGACTGGTGAGTATGAGCCCTAACACTTACTTTGCACCATGGCATCAGGGTCCACTGCCAAGCAGCTGTTCTGCTCCATAGTGAACACAGAGTGTTGCTTACTCAGTATGGGTGCTATTCACAGAATGCCTTGCATTTGTCTCAATTAATACAAGGCATTCTCTGATTGGATGAGCTGGAGAGAAGGGGTAGTGACGTTATAAAGTCCACCCTGTCCAATCAGAGAAAACCTTGTATTCCTTAAGGGAAATGCAAGGTGTTCTGTGAGTAGCTTAATGGCAGCCACACAGCATGGGACCCAGCCGCCAGCAACAATCACTGACTACAGTGATTCTCTGCTTCCACAGTGGACCACAGGTATGGCTTATGCATATTTATATTGGCCCAAGCTGGATCAATGAAGTTATGCTATAAAATCCATACCTAGAAATCAGCTTTAAGGGCCCGTTCACACTAAAAAGAGGTGCTGGAGACCTGCATTCCGTGCCGGTTTCCCGCACTGCATGCCGATAACATTGCCCATGCGATCTGCAGTGGGTGTCAGTGCAATGTTAATGACACCCCAAACGCAGATCACAAATGCAGTGCATTTGCCCACACCAGACTGCACAGTACAAAAGTACCAAGTGATCTGGATGCAGTGCGTTTCCAAAAGTAGTGCATACACTACATTCAAAATGAATGAGCTGAAATCGCAACACACAGAACTACATATGAATCATACAAGAATGCATAGAGTGTTCATGTGTGATACCCAGTGTGAACGAGCCCTTAAGAGTTAAAAAGACATTACAATATATATTATTATAGATCTGATCAGTAGTATATCTTAGATGCAAAAAAAATATTATATATATATATATATATATATAATTATTATACAAGATTGATATAGCACTAACAATATATATATATATATATACACACACACAAACTGTTGTTGGTACTATATCAATCTTGTATAAATATATATATATATATATATATATATATATATATATAAACTGTTGGTGCTATATCAAATTGTATATAAAAAAATAATAATTTTACACACGCATATATCTATCTATCTATTTATATAAATATATTTATCTATACGAGATTGATATAGCACCAACAGTTTGTGTGTATATACACATATATATAGATATATATATATGTACTGGTGGTACTATAACATACACAAAAATAATCATTGTATAATTTATAATCATTATTGTTTTTATACAAGATTGATATAGCACCAACAGTTTGATTATATAGATATATATACTGTTGGTGCTATATCAATCTTGTATAATAATATATACAAGATTATATACTATAATAAATATATAAATATATTTATTACTATACAAGATTTATATATCACCAACCATATGTACATATATTTTTTTTACAAACTGTAATTCATCAATAAAAAGCAATAAACAAGAACAAATAAAATAAAAAAATGTATATATAATAACAAAGAGTTACCCTTCCAGTAAAAGCAATGAAACCCTGAGTTGCAGCACTCAGCTATGTCCTCCGATCGTGTTAATGGCTGACAAGTGACTTTTGCCTCCCTCCCGTTACACAGTGCAGCTACAGGTTCTCCATGCTGTTGTACACATCGCCCTCCAGCACTCAGCGCTACCAGCCGCGTTGACGGACAACCATCCCCACCAATCCCTGCACACATACCTCTAACCCAGCCAATGGCTACACGCACGGGGCGTGGTTTCAGAGGCAGCTAATGGAGAATAGCGCTGTCCCCTCGGCCAGCTGGTGTAGTGTGGGGCCAGGGTGGCAGAGGTTGGTGAAGTTCGTCGTAGGGCGGCCAGTGTACCTACCTGCAGCGGGTGCAGTTTGCTGTTCAAGGAGAAGGTGGCGCTGCTGGGGGTGGGCGTGGACGGCTCGATCAGCTCATCGTCAGCATCTGAGCTCGACATGGCATCATCCGGGGTCCCTCTGTCTTCCAACTGCCCCGAGACTACCACCATCCCTCTGAGCGTGTCCTCTGGCGAGGGCCTAACGGGGGTGGGCAGAGTAGTGATCCGGACACTGCCAGGTCACAGACTCATGCTGGGCTCCAGGAAGAGGACGACTGGCCGCCTGCTACAGAGCCCATACGTGTGGAGAGCATCTGTTTATATCAGTCACATCACCCCAGAGGTTCTCCTCACTGCTTCCAAAGTCTGTGACATCACCGGGTGGGATGTGTTCCCTGGGATCACGTGGCCCAGCTTTCTGTTCATCTGCCATGGTCACCAGAGCTGCTTCTGTCAGCTACCTGATGGTAGGCAATGGAGGGGTGACTGCTTATTACTGGGGTACAGCTCTGGCCTTTGTGGATGGTTCACAAAATGCACAGAGCTCACTGTTTATCTGAGGTAATGAAAGGAGAGCTCCACAGAATGTAACTAGAATGGGTAAAGTGAGAGGGCCTAGTCATACCATAGGGGCTGCATTGGTCAGTATTGGCCAACTCAAACCAAGGGGCTTACCATTAATTTTCCATATTGTGTTGCGCTCCTATTAATAAATATCTCTTCTGTACCACTTATCCCTTAATAACACCCAAAATTAATAATGTATGATCAAATAGTCTAATTCAAAAAAAAATATATATAAAAAAATATGAAAAAGCACATGTGTATACAATTACTTAAAAAATCTTAATATAATAATCACTTATATGGAAAATAACTAAATGTGAATACTAATACACTCTTCAAAAGTACATGATGTTATAGCATAAACGTGATAACAAATCAATAATACACCATGATTAGTGAAAAAAAGAAGAAAAAATTATAAAAAATATATATATATAATATCAAAAATATATATATATGTGTACTACAAATTAATAAATGTGTAAAAAATATATATAATAATGTCCTTATAATACAGTGACTCTGTGCTTGATTTAATCTTGAATCCGTGACTCTTTGTGAATCCTCTAATTAGTGCAGATGTACGCTCACCTCCTTATCTGCCTGCAATTAGGCTATATGCGCTTGTGGTTCACCTCCTATGGAACCTGCTTAGATGAGATTTCTCCTTTATAGATTATGGAATGTAGATATCCTTTACCATTGATTAACCCTTCCGGGATTAATCACTCCTTACGAAAATTCCAATCCCCTTATGCTCTCCTCTCCATGCGTTTCTCCATATGTGGGGACAAATTACCAAACATAGTGTTTTATCCTTTTTAAAAATTTCTGCTTTATTGCTTCCAAATGGTTCACTCACATTTGCTGTTTTCAATATAAGGCAATTTGTATGTAACGAGTCCTCCGCCGACCGTTGAGTCATGCACCCGCCGTCTGTCAAACAATCCGGCTTTCTCCGAGTGACGTTGCAGCCCCACCCCTACGCGTTACGCCACTGGTCACGTGGCTTCATCAGGGGGTTTTGATAGCATGGGCTTACCATATGTCCTATTACACTGAAAGAGTGGAACAGCATGTTTTTATGCAGCACAGCATGTCGCAGTGCGCTACACCTACGCAGACTATCCACCTCCACCCTAACATGAATGTTACGGGGGCGTTTTATGAAATCACTGGGCCTGTGTGCAAGATCATCATCTGGACCCCTGAAGCACAGCATGTCATGGTGCGCTACACCTACGCAGACTATCCACCTCCACCCTAACATGAATGTTACAGGGGCATTTTATGAAATCACTGGGCCTGTGTGCAAGATCATCATCTGGACCCCATTGCTTGCTGCATTCTCCGTGCAGTATGGCATAGAGTGGGCATGGGTTTCATTGTGTTGCTAGGATTGTAGAAGACCTAGCATGTATCTGGGAACCTCGAGTTGGGTGGTAATCCCATTTTGTACCCATACAATATGCTAACATTGCTGAGGCACAAGTAATGCAGGCCATAGACAGGCCGTTTGTCGGCCGATAAACGAAAAATCGGTCAGTGCCGATGCTGCCACCAATGCTCATGACAGAATGGGAAAAGAAACCAGTTTGACAAAGACGGGAGCACACCATAAAATGTGACAGCAATACAAATACATTATGTTTTTATTTGGATACAAATGGATACATTTGTTGCAACCGCAAGACCTTTTCATATAAAATATAATAGCGGAAGAACTGAGCCACCGTTCAGTGACACTTGTACATTCTTTTTCTTTTTATTCTTTTCTTGCAGGTCACGGCTCATTTGCAGATTTTTTATCAGTAAAACAGCCGATTTGCCCATCATTGCCGGGAAAATCGGCCGATCGTCCAAATCGATCGTGAATTTTCCAACATGACCGATGAAAAACTGCAAAAAACCTGAAAAAACGGCTGACCAATTAACTCACTAACAGTGCGAAAATCGGCCGATTTTGTTTTGGGACGAAAAATCAGCCGATTTTCAATGGTCACCCCCATTACTAGTATACGGTTTGTATGGATCAATGTATTGATTACAATTGAGTAAAACAATATGGCGTACACTGCAGAGGAATGTCATGCATGGGTGTTGTCCATGAAGGAAGCCTTTCCTAAAGCCCATGCACAAAAAAGCCCACCTAGAATTTGCCAGAGCCCATGCTGAAAAAGAACACGACTACTAGGACTCTGTACTCTGGAGTGATGAGACCAAGATTATTGTGTTTGGAACTGATAGCTTCAAAAATGTATGGTGTCGCAAAGGTGAGGAGTACAAAGAAAAATGCATAGTGCCTACAGTGAAACATGATGGTGGCAGTGTCCTTCTGTGGGACTGCATAAGTGCTGCTGGAGTCAGGAAGCTACAGTTCATTGATGGTATCATGAATCCACAGATGTACTGCTCTATATTGAAAGAGAAGATGCTACCATCACTCCGTGCCCTTGGTCGTTGTGCGCTTTTCCAACATGACAATGATCCAAAACACACATCTAAGGCCACTGTTGCATTTCTGAAGAAGAACAGGGTGAAAGTGAATCAGTGGTCAAGTAAGTCTCCTGATCTAAACCCAATCAAACATCAGTGCCGTATATCAGTGCAGCCTATCAGTGCTGCCTTAGTACCCATCAGTGCAGCCTCATCAGTGCTACATATCAGTGCAGCCTCATCAGCGCACATCAGTGAAGGAGAAAAAAAATTACCTGTTTGCAAAATTTTATAACAGAAACTAAAAAGTTTTTTTTTTTCAAAATTTTTGGTCTTTTTTCAATAAAAAACAACAACCCAGTGGTGATTAAATACCACCAAAAGAAAGCTCTACATGTCTAAAAAATGATAAAAATGTCATATGTGTATAGTGTTGCATGGCAGCACAATAGTCATGCACAGAAAGCTGAAAATTGGCCTGGGCAGGAAGGGGGTGAAAGGGCCCAGTAGGCAAGTGGTTAATAACACATAATATCACAAAGCACTGTGGTGCATAAATGCATGGAATCTCAATTTGTGACATTTCAATAAAGGTAAATAGTGCAATGTGTTGTAACAATGCCCCTACACAATGCACACCAGGAGGTGTGCACTATACACAGCATAGGCCCCATTCACTCCTGAGCAGAGTGCTTTTCAGGCATTTTTATTTGAGTTTTGCAAGCATTTAGAAGCGTATTACAAGAATTTTACATGCATATTCAAGCTTCAGGTGTTTTTATTTTAGCCAATAGAAAGCATTAGGGGGATTAGGGGGATGAGAGTAAGAGTGGAGAGCTGCTGTTTTGCTGGAAAACATGCAATAAAACACTTGTATAACACATGGATTACATGACAGCAGCTGTAGGTAAGTAAAAGGGTCTTTTAGATAGGGCTCTGTGCTTTTTTTAACCACTCACCACCCGCTCACAGTACTTTTACTTTGGACAGGCTACATGGCCTGGCTCAGAAATATAAATATACATTGCCTGGCACCTGAGCACTGGTGTGCCCACTGAGGTGCGCCACATGCCGCTCTTATAACCGCTATGTCCACAGGACACAGCAAATTGCAATTCCCAGTACCCGGCCACATCGATCACATGGGGATTACATGATCACAATGTCAGCAAAGCTGTTAGGAATGAATTTTTTATTTTATAGCCAATCATAGCAAAATGTCAACAAGAAGCACAGCTCTTATGAATTAAATCCATTCATTACAGTTTGCTGTTACAGTAGCACAGTGTCACTATGGTCAAAGTATGAAAGAAAAAAAAATAGTACAAAAAAAAAAGTTAACAAATTGAATACAAATAATTTTTTATTTTATTTTCCATGCTGTCACCAGTCAATATGCCTGATCACCGCCACAGCAGTTGTATGATGACGCTTTACTGCACTGGTGACAGTGTGAAACAGTTTTTTTGTTTTCATTTTCCAAATAATTGTGACAAAAAAATTACTGGCAAAAAGACTTGCCAGGCCTCTTACTAAAGACCTTGGTCTGTCTACTTTCCAAGAAGGGTTTATTGTGGTGGTAGTTCTACTGTCCTGGCATTTTAGGGCCTCAAGAAATGACATAGGCCGTCAGTAATCAGGACTGATCAATCTACAAATACAGTATATATACTATAGTGTGTATGCAATTTCACACAGACTAAATAATATGCAGATTTTAGTTATTTTAACAAATAAATGTAGCAGAATACATTTTGGCCTAAATTTATGAAGAAAGAAAAACTTTTTTTTTTTAATTTCTGTATTTTTTTTTGTTTTTAACGCAAAAAATAAAACAATGGTGATTAAATTTTATTTTTATTTTCAGGTATTTATATAGCGCTGTCAATTTACACAGCGCTTTACATACATATTGTACATTCACATCAGTCCCTAACCCTCAAGGGGTGTACAATCTAAGGTCCCTAACTCACATACACATTCCCACACATGCGCGGCTCCGGGAGCGTGTGGCGATCTGCGGTGCGCTGTGTCCCTCGGACACAGCTGATCACCGATCAATGGAAAGAGCCGAAGCTGTCGGCTTGGTCATGTGATCAGCTGTGTACAATTACAGCTGATCACATGTAAACAGGGAAATGCAGGTTATCGGCATTTCTCTCCTCTCG